GGAAGGGGTTGAGTCCCCATCCCTGGAGGGATTTCAAGGCTGGGCAGACGAGGTGCTTAGGGACAGGGTTTAGTGGTGGGATGGCAGGGTTAGGGTAATGGTTGGACTCAATCTTAAGGGTCTTTTCCAACCTAAATGATTCTGTGATTCTATGAAAATTTGCACACCATATGATGGCGTGATGATCCAACATGTAACAGGAGCACATGAACCCATAAAACGTAACTGCCTGCATTTGTCTTCGTCTGATGAAGGGCTGTGCCTGATGTCCGTTTAGGTAGTAAAAGCAGATTAAATTTTGTGGATTGTCTCAATGTGGTAGGGTTTTATGTTTTGGTGGTTTTTTTTCCTCTTTTTCCAGTCCACCGCCAAGTTCCACCATCCAGAATTATGCTTAGTGTTGGGTTTGGCCGAAATCTGAAAACTACAGAGCAAAACCCTTTTGCTGTTATTTCTGGTTTGGGATAGGAAATGAAATACGAAATTTAGGCATGAGTAGATAGGGTTGAGAACTTCAGTCAAAACTCTCCACGGGTTTACATGAAAAACTGGTGATCCTTTCCTAGAACTTCAGTTAAGGTTTAATTTTGTAATAATACTGTGAACTCAGGTAGTTTTCTTTATAGGTTTTGTTATAAAGCATTTCTCAGTAGGAGTTGTTTAAAGGGTTTTGAAGATATCAAAATTATTATAGAGAGCCTGGACAAAACAATTTTCTGAGCAGTACAAGTTTTTATTTTACTCAGGGCTACAGGCTGGAAATACATCTTTTGGACACCAAAGTAAATTTGAAGGGAGATGAATTCATTCATTGCAAATGAAGGTGCAGATGCTTTTAGAATCTGACCAAATGTCCGTAAGTAAAAGCATCTTCTTCATCCTTACAGACTTCCGAATATGGATTTCATAGAGTGGAAGGGTTGAACACCAGAAGTGCAATAATAATAAAAAAACCCAACACCACCCCCTCTCTTCACACCCACCCCTTCCCAGCTGTCTAGCTCAGTAAATTTCACACCATGGTTGCAAGGCCAGAATGATTACGAATTAGGGTTAGCACAAAAACTAGCTATTTGAAAATTTTGTGGCATTTTACTGTAATGTAGAGGCCGGAATTTCTCAAAAAAACAAATCTGAAAAATGCACGAAGGCAGGGAGGTCGCGCTTGCAAAACCCAACTCACTGCAACAGAAAATGGGATTTCTTAACCTTGTCTTTCAAACAACCAGGGTTGTGCATGACCCCCTTGCACTTTGCCATTTCGGTTGTCATCTGTTATGCTCTCCTTCATGCTAAGATCCCTTTCTGCCTGATATTCCCTAGGTTGCAGCGTGTTAAAACTCTTCCATGTAATCAACATTTTTGACTAGTGGATTAATTTTTGACCTTTCTGAGTGTCCTTGGGCAAGGCCCCAGGTGGTCATGACCAAATTCACAGGAGATGCAGAATATGGTAATAAAATTTTTTTTTTTTTTTTTTTTTTTTTTAAAAACCTTCTGCTGTGCAGGGGCTTTCTGAGGGAATATCTTTATTGTGATGAAAGTAATACACCTAGTTTTCACTCTGATTTCTAGCTTCAACATAGATCACTTACTTAGTTACCCCAAGGCTTTTTAGCATTGTAGAGTAGCCATTAATGGAAATTTGTTACGATTGGGTGTGTATGCATGAAGGAAAGTGTGCATAAGCAAAAGGCTTGTCTTTTTTTTTTTTTTTTTTTTTAATGGTGTACTTTGTATGTACCGTTGTCCTCAGTCTAACTGAACGAGGTGCATGCACTTGGTCAGCTTTCGTGGTGAGCAGCTGGCTCTTAGATATGAATTTTCACCTGTATACCCAGTGATTACAGCTCTGCGTATGGATCAGGGCCTTTTCTTTAAGGATGGGAGGAGATGGGTGGCTCCCAAATATCCTTGGCAGGCAGGTAGTGTTGATTACAGGTTTTACAGGTAATTTGTGATAAAGATAGCAGTCCCAATTCCAGGTCCTTAGCGCTCTGGCTGGTGTCACCTTTGCTTGTATTTGCAACTTTCTTTTCATATGGAATATTTAATAATAGGTTTTTTTAAAGACTCTTGTTCTTTATGGCAATATTAAGCGGTATTGTATCAAAGAACAAATTCTTTAATTGCTGCGAAGGAGTATTTATAGAATAAGCTACATACCAGTCGCAGTCTCCCTGCTTGCTGCCCTGTTTTAAAGGAGGTGTGAGAGCTGTGAATGCATCCTTCAGGATTTCAGTAAAGCATTGATACTTCAGTTGTCTGTGCCAGAACACCTCAGTCAGTGTACATTAAGATTTAGTAACATCCCCTAGAGACGAGTTACATTTCCCCAAGAAACGCCAGATTGGAAATCAAAACCAGTGTACAGGCAGGAAAAAAAAAAAAATCCTGCTGATTGCCATCATAGATGTAACCATCTACCTTAATTTTCCCAAGGAAAGCGTAGTGATGTGGCTTTAATGGCTTTTCTTCTTCCCACTCCTTTTGGCGCAACATGTGCGTGCAGGATCGTGGGACAGGAAAACTGCTGTGTTCTGCACAGCACTTCCACTCGGGGATCTTTTATCCTGCTCTAATCGTGCTCAGTGTGGCAGCTACTACCGATAAGAACATACTGCACTCATGGTATTAAAGGAAAAAAAAAAAAAAAAACCCTACTAAAATTCAGCTTTTAATTTATTTGTCCTCTCATTTGGAGAGAACAGCTAATGTGATTTCATATAATAAAACCAACCATGTGAGAATCCACAGAGGTGATTTTCTAAATTTAAGATTTCCTTTGAATTTGTTTTTATCGCAAATAGATTGGATTACTATAGGCTGTGTCAGTGTGAGTCACTTGTAAGTGCCTGTTAATCCAATAAACCTGAGTGGTTTCTTACGGAAATACTATTTTCTGATTTCTATTTATATGATGGTCCTGGCCTTGTTGAATCCCCACTGACTTCACTGGAAATATCTCTTTGGAAAAAACTGGTATAATTTCATGTGGTAATGGACATTACAGCGAATCGGTAAAATGAAAAATAGCCCCAAGTAATTAGTAAACGTTTTAGAAGTTATTTGTGTCAACTTCATTACGTGTTTTATGGCGTTTTCGGCTGAGAATAAAAAATAATTGTCAGATGCTTTTATTTTGTTGTGGGTTGGTTTTTTTTTTTTAGTTTGTATGGAGGGTGGAACAGCATTATTAGGTCTTCACGCTGTCCTGCAAGTTTTAGAGGTCTGCTTTTGCCACTGCCCTGCTTTGTGGTGCTGGTTGCATCACTCTGTACCTTAATTTGCCACCCATACCATACTTGGTTCTACTGAAAACTAAAAATCATAGATTTTTTTTTTAAAAAAAAAAAAAAAAAAAAAGTAGCTGTATTAAAATTTTGACTTAAGCCTCTTTCTGTTTTATTTGTGCAGCAACCGGTATTCAGTGGCAGCAGAAAGCAAAAACTTTGCTATGGTTTGGAATTTTTGCCTGAAATGAGAAGCAAAAATCTGGAGAACAAATGTTTTTCTAGCCTGAGATACAGTGTACTTCTTTCTGCACCAGGAGTCTAAATGCTCTTAAAAGATGGCTGGTAACCTGGTCCTGTTTTGAAGGAGAAAGCAGAGAATATCACGATTTATATTATACATAGGGAATTCCTAGTGCTGGGGGGAGGGATACATTTACTGGAAATAGTTTGTCAAAATTCAGTGTTTGTAACACATGCAACACCACTGCTACTGTAAGGCACCACAGTTTTCATAATCATACATTTACACGCATGTACCAGGTTCCCAAATACCTTGTTCCTCTCGGTCTCCACTGTTGAATTCTGTTGTGCATGGTGTGAGGGATAGAACACTCAAAACCCCTGATTTTTTGATGTGTTCAGGCAGACTTTTGTAGATGTGGCCTGCCTACTTGATCCACATACCTGTAATGGCTGTTGAGCCTGGGTAGTAAATGCTGCCGAGGGGATTGGATCCTTAGATGAGGAATTACGGACCTTATGGTGTGATAGGTTCTGCTGATAAACGACCCATGGCATTTTGCAGAGGCTGTTCAAGACTGCGTGAGGTTGTGATTTTAGATCCGTTAGTGGTGGTAGTTTATTGGTAGCAACTCCAGATCTTAATTGGGATTTTTGGATAATTTTACCCGCTAAGCATATGACTTCTTGATCAGATACTCGAAGGAGGAAGAGGATACATGGACACCTGACGGTTAACAAAGCATCTAGAATAAAATCACAAGGGAAAAGGAAAAAGAAGTCGGAGAGCTGTGCATCATGTTCACGTGTTAAAAAAGTCATTTGAGAAGTAGAAACAGGGACACAATTCAAAACTAATGTAAAAGCATATCAGGTAGGGTTAATATAAAATCTAAGGTACAAAAAGATGGATAACTGACATTAATAGGTAACATGAAAAGGCCTTGTAAAAACGTTGGAAGTCAGAGGAAGTAGAAGGAAAATGCAGGCTGCCTCCTTACTAGTGTTGATGATAAATAAGAGATACCACACTGAATAACCGCTGAGCATAATTGTATTTAATCATGGGTCTTTTGAAGGAACCAAAAACCCCTTTGGACTTGCTGGGGGAATAATTTTGGTAATTAACAGCTCTCATTTGAAAATGCAGTGTATTGTGAGATTCCCCCACCCCCCCACCCCATCTGAGAGTACAGACTCCAGTATGTTTTACTTGAAAACAGGCAGGCTAACTGAGAGGGTCAGAGGCAAAATGTACTCGAAACATTGGTAGTTTAAAAAGCAAGAATTTACGAATGCTTAAATAAGTATACTTGAGTGTATTGCAGTGGATTGAACCAATTTAGGTAAGGCCAAATGGTTGCATCTGACACAAATGGGCTGTGCAGCAAAAAGATTGGTGTACGGGCAAACCTGGAGCAAAAGGTTGTGGTCTGAAACAAACCTGCTGTTGCCTAGATAAATCTGATTTCTAAAACGAGCTTTTATTTCATATAAAAGTTAAAATTAAGTTTTCTCTTCTAGTAGAAGCACAGAGAGAACTATTTCAAGAAGAACGATCCTAAACTAAGAAAGGAAGGGCATTGATCGCTCCAGGTACTGGCACACCGGAATTCATCTTGTTAAACTGGTAGCCCGGTCCCTGGCATGGTTTTAGCCTGTGCTCACCAGCACTTTTCCAGACAGTGCTTGAGCATCGTCTGGAGATGAGTGTGGTGTGGGGGCTGTTTCTGATGGATGGCTGGGGTACGGCTGCCCTGTTCTGGGGCTAGGAAAGC